AGCTATTTTCCAAGGCATCCAAAGGCCAGACAAGGAATAATGGATGGAAACTGATCAAGAAGAGATTCAATCTAGAAATAAGGAGAAACTTTCTGACAGTGAGAACAATCAACCAATGGAACAGAAGTTGCCTTCAGAAGTTGTGGGAGCTTCATCACTGGAGGCTTTCAAGAAGAGATTGGACTCCTGTCTGTCAGAAATGGTGTAGGGTCTCCCGCTTGGGCAGGGGGTTGGACTAGATGGCCTACAAGGTCCCTTCCAACTCTGATTATCTGTTAAATCTGTTAAACCTTTATAGGAGACTGGACAACCATCTGTCAGAAATCGTATAGGGCAGGGGTATCAAACTCAATTTCATTGGGGGCCGCATCAGGTTTTTGTTTGACCTCAGGGAGGTTGATGAGCATGGCCTGGGGGGGCATGGCCAGGGTGAGCGTGGCCCGCTTGACATCACTTATGCCAGGGGACACCTGTGGTGGCCTGAGCAGGGCTGGGGGCGACCCTCCTGTAGCCCTCTGCCAGCAAAAACAGAGCCTGGAAGCCAGTGGTGGGATTCAAATATTTTTACTACTGGTTCTGTGGGCATGGCTTGGTGGGCATGGCAGGTGAAGGATACTGCAAAATCCCCATTCCCTCCCCACCCCGCTAACCTGCTTTCCAGCTCCGTTCTCCTGTGCAGGGCAACAAAAGAAGAGCCAGCCAATCAGCTGGGACTCGGGAGGCAGAGAAGAGATGGGGGCGGGGCCAGTCAGAGGTGGTATTGGCTGATTCTCCAAACTACTCAAAATTTCCGCTACCGGTTCTCCAGAACTGGTCAGAACCTGCTGAATACCACCTCTGATGGAAGGGCCACGCGTAGCTCTCCCGAGCTCTGTTATTTCCAGGGCAGCTCCATGGGCCACATCTAAGCACCCCACAGACTGGATCTGACCTATGGACCTTGAGTTTGACACCCCTGGTAAAGGGTCTTCTGCTGGAGCAGGGGGTTGAACTAGATGAGCTGTAAGATCCCTTCCAATTTTGTTGTTCTATTCTATTCTATTCTATTCTATTCTATTCTATTCTATTCTATT